CCCCACTGGGCGATTCCGGCTCATCATAAATCTTGAACACCTCCCCCCAGCGTTTGGGCTACTCCGATTCATCATACAAATTAAACACGCCCCGCCCATTGGGCGATTGCGGTTCACCATAGGTCTGCAACACGCCCCCCCTCATGTTACGATTCCGGTTCAGCATATACCTTAAACTTAAACACTCCCCCTCATTGGGCGATTCCGGTTGATCACATACCATCTTAAAAACGTTCCTCATTTCATCTTATATCTTACGCACGCCCTTCATCATATATCTTACAGACGCCCCTCAGTTGTCGAATCCCCTGTCATCATATAAATTAGATACGCCCCCCTGATTGGGCGATTCCGGTTCATCATCATGTCATATCTCTTAAACCTGCCTCCCCTCCCTCCGCTTGTTAAGCGATTCCGATGCTGCACATTTCTTAAACCCGCTCGCAACTTTTCACGGGCCTGCGGCCCGCTGCCCGCTTTCGCACGGCTAAAACAGAGCGGGGGTCCGGGGTCGGGGAGGGCAGCCGCCATCCCCCCCCGCCCCTGTTTGCAACCACAATGTCTGTATCAGGAGTTCTGCAAGGATCCATACGCGCTCTGCTTTTGCTGGCAGGATGTTATGTTGAAGCGAGCTTGCACGGCTGAGACTTGCGTGCTTGCTTGCTTGCTGGCTGGCTGGCGGGCTGGTGGGATGGTTGGCTCGCTTGCTTGCGAGCCCGCCGAAAACAACAATGCAAAAAAAATGAGGAAACCATACCGCCACCCTGAACATCCCGTTCGCTGAAAACCGAGTGCCTGGAGCTTCTGCGCTGCCAAAAGATTGCTCCAAGAAGCACCAGTGCTGCGCTGAGGGGTCGAGTCAGTGACAGCCTCGAGACCGTGAGGCCCATGGCGCGGCAATGCGCAGACTGTCTCTAGCTGCAAGTCTGACCTGCGCCGCCTTGTTTACGTGCATGTCGCTGCTTTTCAGATGTCCTGCTGTGTCTTTCTACCTCGCTGGAAAGGAGTTGCTCATCCCTTGTGAGCGCACGCTGCTCGTAGGCTGAACGGTTGCAGGCATGCAGGGAGCAGGACGGAACTTGGGCCTGGATCAAGAAACAGGGGATCCCGGCTCAGGTTCCGGAAACAGCTGCGGGATGCAGATTTCAAAACATCTCGGCAGCGAATTTCGCAAGGGCAAGGCAGGAAGTCCGCAGAATCAGGCGGCAACGATGCGCCTTGTCCTCCTCTTTGGGAGGCCGTAAGAATATCGACCTTGATGACTGCGGCCCAGAACCCTGCGGCTCTTGTCTCTTCAATTCGCTCCTCTGCCGGCCGGCGCTGACCGCCGAATGAGGTCTGTGCGCGAAGAGCGAGCCCAGAAACATCACAACCATCCAGCCGAAAAGTACATAGACCTGTGCCCGGATCAATCAGGCTTTGCACACAAAATCAAGCAGAGAGTCCAACAGTTGACATACTGAACAAACCCTAGAACTGTTTGCAAAGACCTAAGCCTGAGCTGCCTTACTCAACCCGACCAGCAGGACACTGCCCGGGAGATTCTGCCGAGGCCGCGGCTATGAAGGACGTGGCCGATGCACGCGTGTCCAGGCAGAAAGGTGCATGGGGCAGCGGGCAACCTCTGCGAACACAGAGACCGCGGCAGCTTAAAGCGACAAGACAACACACCGAGAGTGCAGGTCAGACAAGTCTCTGCTACGACGGAGCCCTCGCAAATACCCTGACCCTGCTGCAACCTTGCGAATTGGGATGCACGAAGAGGGATTTCGCCAACATTACTTGTCTCTGGGCTCCTTGCAGACTGTGCCATTCATAATGTGTTGCCTTAAATGTGAAGAAGGTATGTGCCACCACACTACTAAGCGAACCTGCATTGCCAGCATCGGTGGTTTGCTTGAGGTCGTGACCCCCATGCTTGCACGGCCAACTCAGCAGCCGTTTTGACATCGTTCTTCTCGAGGTTTGCCCTGCAGACAAACTTGGCTAATGCGCGGCATTCAGTTGTCGCGTGGCCGAACTCATTGCCTGGCCGCCCTGCACAGCATCAGGGCTGTTTGACCTCGGCAAGTGGCCGGATCCCCGCATAGCCGCAGCACAATGTGTGTTTCTCGGAGACAGCGCTGCGTCCCTTCCAGATCTCGTTCTGCTTGTCGCTGACTTTCCACCTCGGATCCCAGAGGTCAGCACGATGCGAATGGCTCGTCGTCCCGGAAGTTCCGCTGCAAGTCTGTCATCTGCTGCACTCCTACAACCCTGAGGGCCAAGCTGGAATTCGCTGAAATCAAGAGTGGCATTTGTTACCTGCGGACACTTGCAGTAGTGGCACAAGAACTCCGCACCTGTGAATAGCACCGCCCACTTGATTGAGAGATCGATGCGAATTCCAGCTACATCGCTTGATGCACCTTTCATGGAAGCAAGCACATCCAGCCTTTGCACAATTTGCCTTATAAACATCTTCCAACTCCGCCGTATTCATCCATGACCTGGGCATTATCACTGCTTAGGAGATAAGAAGATGCATGCAGTACGGGTTGGTTCTTGGTCATTGTCATCCTGTCGCGCTCCTCCTAAGTCATGTTCGTGGAAACACTTTCGGGCAGCACACGGCGGATGACAGCGATCAATGTACGCCACATCACCTGCCAGGGTCTTGGGGCCAGAATGGGCCAGAGAGATGAACACCGGCCACCGCCTGCAGCGAAGGCCAGCGTGGGCCTCAGCTGCGGTTCGCACGCCGTCACCGGCCTTTTGAGGCGCCAAGGCTAAGGGCCCGGCAAGAGGCTGTGCAGCGGCCATCTCAGGACCATTTCTCCGAGGAGCCCAGGGCTCGGCGATACCGGTTGCGCTGCACGTGCAGAGTGTCACATACTTATGGAGTCACTTCTGGGCTGGTTTGCGCCCATGCTGCTCTTGCGTGCTTCTGTGTGGTTCCTATCGCCGAAGGGGTGTCATGAGGCTGGGCAACTGCTATGGAAGTTGGACAAACTCAATTGCAAGCTGGATTCATGTGCGTGGCAGTGAACTAACTTCCCAGGCCAGCAGGCGATAAGACGCAACTGTAACTCAAACCTTGACTTCTCCTCTGCTGATGACGAGAAAGCCCACACAGCCCACAAGAGCCCGTACGATCCAAGGGCTGACCCAATGGACTCTTTGCTGCAATCTTGGCGAGCGGAAGCCCCCGAAGCACCTTGCACTGCGTTTACCGAAACTCGCAACAGTGTGCTGCAACATGGCGTGGTGTCTGCTGGGGGAACTCACGACATTAAAATGGTTGTCACGTCTACTCTACCCTAGCTATCCCTAGCTCAACGAACTGAGCACACACCCGCGTCGATGTCTCTCACCCCCACAACTATTGGCGTAATTGCCTGTGCGTGCGTGTAGAAAAGCATTCTTCTTAGATGCGCTGCTATGCAGGTACACATGCATAGGCATTTGCATGTCTCTGTCTGACTGTCTGTCTGCCTGCCTGCCTGCCTGTCTGCCTGTCTGCCTGCCTGCCTGCCTGTCTGCTTCCGTCTGTATGTATGTTTGTATGTATGTATGTATGTATGTACGCTTGTTTGTGGAGGCGGCGCCTGTACCTTGTTTGTATGTATGTATGTACGTATGTACGTTATGTACGTATGTACGTACGTACGTACGCACGCACGCACGTACGTATGTATTTATTTGTGAAATGTGTGTATGTGAAATGTGTGTGTGTGTATACATATACACACACACACATGCATACTGATTGGTATATGCTCGTGGGTGTGCGAGTGCGTGTATATATAATTATATACACACACACCCCTATTGTACAAGTGTGTAATGTGTGCACACACAGATATTGGCCGACGTATGTTGACGACGTTATGCAAACATGCATGTGTGCACCTACCCCCTTTACGCATCCAAAGCTGTATGTATGTATGTATGTATGTATGTATGTATTCATGCAGTCATGCATGCATTGTGAGTGTGCGGTATACTGGAATGCTGTTTCTCTGCTTGTTTCGTGTGGGTTTCGTCAAGATGGCTTGACACAGAGGGTCGTGGGAAGCACGCCGGAGGAACGCCATCAAAGACTTTGCGCTCACTCGATGCCCATATACGAGATTCCGGAGAGTAGCAAGGCTTGAAGCTTCGCGGAGGCCGCCGTTCTGAGATCCGCACCCATTCCAAGTCCGATCCGCTTGGCCAGTTGCCAGCGAGCTGCAACAGGAAAGCAATATATCTATGCTACATCCTGGAACTAGAAGACGTGGTTAGACTGTCCCAATCTCACGCATACGGTGAATAACATGATGTTATGTATGTCACAGACTGATGCCACCATGCGGATATGTTTGGTGCATGGTCTCTTCCCTTCTGCCTTGATGGACTCGCTGCGCACCACAAGTCCATCTGTCCCGACAGGGCCTATGCGAAAAGTCCTGAGTCGGAACCAAATCCTCTGCAAGGACCCACACAAGCCCTGGCTCTGAGGAGATGGCACGAAGCAAGCAACTCGAGCCAGGACCTGGCAGGCGGCAGGGCTGTGGAACTGACGAGACTGGAAGCAGTCTGCCTCTGGCCACCGGAGGATGAAAAGGCAGGTCTCCGTCTCCTCCGGCTTCACCCATAGACGGTGGGGTTCGACCGTTCACCGTTCAACATCGTTCAACCAAGATGAAATGTCTGTTAGATGTCGCGAGCATCCGGATGCCTTTTCAGTTTCGCACGGCTTGGCAGGTTTCTCTCAGCGATATGTAAAAGTAAGTGGCACGTGGCACCGGCCTGCGACACTGACGGATGCGAAAACTGCATCAGCGGTCCGAGGATCTGGGAAGGTCTGGGCATGGTCCCCCGGACTGCCAAAGAGCGTTTGAAGGTACCTTCTAACAGTATCTCCTTGCCGGCCAGCACTCATGCTAGTGTGGATTGAACGTGCAGTGATGGATCCGAAGGCGGGGCGCAGGTCCTCGTAAGGCACCAGCAAAGCACCGGCTAAGGACCTTTCCGTGGCCTTGACCAGATCAGGGCTCAAGCAACCTTTTGCACGGCACCCGAAGTCGCACCTCCTTGTCGGAGAGTCTCGATGATGGGTTCCTGGCAGTCGCAGGTGCCATGACGAGCTCAACACATGTAGAGCTTCACAGCGCTTCGTAGAGCTGCCTTGTTGGCTGCTCGGCTGTTTTTGGGCTGGCGTTGCCTTCTCGGACAGCAGATATGGCCTTGGTGGCTCTGCTTCACGTTAAATCGCAGGAGGCTCAGCTACACACTAAGCCACTAAGCCCTAACTCCACACCTGATGACATGCACTTGACCTTCGAGGTTCGTCGCCTTTCGGCTCAGGCCCCCCGCATCTAGAACCTCGTCCTGTCCAACATCGGGCAGTATGTCCACCTGCCACCAGCCAACTCTCTCTCTCGCACGAGGACGAAATTTTGCCGATCAAAGTCAAAGCACCTCCTTGTGGGCCGCCTCATCTGGCTGCGGCCACACCAGCACCTCAGTGTCAACATGCAGATGTCTGCATACCACCACTACTGGGAGCACACAAGCTTCCCTCGTTGCCTTGACGGGGCGGGCTTGACGGTAACCAGGCCTTCAAAGCAACGTGTCGTGCGTCACGTGTTGAGTTTTAGCACAAGCTCCGGGCACATGTGAGGAGCCCGGCCGGGTCATCAAAAGCCGTGCAATAAATCCTAGTTTGCTTGGTGAAGAGTTGGTCCGAGCTGATCCGTTCTTCCGCAAGATATCTAAGAAGCTGGGCGCAGCTTGTGTCAGTCTTACGTCGAAACTCGCACGTCTGCGCACACTGCGTCTGATGTCTGCATTTGATCTCTTGCCCCGATCGGGGGCTCGAGTTCGAGCCGATGGCAAAGCGCAGAGACGGCCAGCCTTCAGGAGTAACGGAGTTAAAAAGTAGTTAGAATAAAATAATGTGTTTGAGGGCTTTGGCTTTGTGCTGCTTAGGATCCGTTTTCACTTAGCAAGGATTGCAGTTCAGAGGTGTGTCCGATTATGTCCGCTTTGAAAAGTGTGTCAAGGATCGCACCCCACGCCAGATTCGGCTACAGCTCTCCTGCGAATCCGGGGGAGTGCTGTCGCAATGCTATATGCTCGTAGCAAGATGCAAGCAAGACTATGTACAGTTGTTGCCAAACTGGTACAAACGGCACCAGGCGCAAGGCGCTGGCACGGATCGAGATCCTTCGTCCCCGGGCACTTGGGCACGGCCCCGCATTATTGCCTTCACAAAACACGACATCGCCATGGTCGGGAAGTCGTCCTGTGGCGTACATCTGGCAGGCAAGCCGATGCAGTCTGCGGTGGAGTAGTCATCCGGCGCTGCATTGTCCAGCAGCAAAGCCCAGCGGATTGTCTTCCACTTCACTGCCATCTGATGCAGTCGGACAGGAAGGCCCTGAAGCACTTCTCTTAGGAAAAGTACGCCTAGCCGAGCAACAGGGCTGTCAAGATCTGCCTCGAAACGAAGGGGACGTCTGACACGTCCGCAATTCTCATGATGTCGTCTTGGCGATTGTCAGCTTCGTGTGCTAGCGCTTGTCACTGGACCTTAGCCAGTATTGCCAGTATCATGCAGCTGTGCTACATTGCGGGGCACGTACAGCCAAGGTCCGAGCTCAGTGTCGCTGGATGACGTAGATGACTTGGACGACTTGTCATCCGACGAGGAGGCGCTCATGCTGGAGGCTTCGTCCTCTTCGCCCTTGTCTTTCTCTGGGTCAGACGCTTGATCGGGGTCTTGAGCTGGAGATGTTGGAGTCGGAGCCTCCTGGCGCGACTCGGCCCACTGCACTCCCACTCCCACTGCCCGGGTCGACCGTTTTTGCTGCATGCCTCCTCCTGCGCTTCGCTTGGTCCGTCGAGGGCGTCTCCTCAGCACGTGGGAACTCACGCGAACTGCAGCTACGTCCGGGAACATGAGCCAAGCTGAGTAGGAGTAGGCAAGGCTTTAATTTTAGGAGTTCGTAACGTGATCCAAGCGTTGGCAAGATTCCCACAACTTCAGCAGGCTTCTTCCTTCTCCTTCGCAATCTCCTCTTCCTCCGCTTACGATGACGAGTCCTGCAGCTCCCGCATGGGGCTTTACACAGTGACTGCACGAAAGTCTGGCAGAGGTTTCGGTCCGTTTGTCCAGATGCGTGGTCTTGTCCACACCATGCTCATCCTCCTCCTCATCTGAGTCTTCTCTTGCCTGCCAGCTATGTGTATGAGGCCTGGACAAAGCATCAGAATGCTTCCGCGGCAAAACCAGCAAATTGGCGAGCCTCCAGTTTGACAGTGGCAGCACGTCCCATGATCCTGCCAACATGCGTGATAACAGTAGGTGAGCCTCAGTATGGCTTAGTGAGTGCCGTGGTTCCGTCGCAATCCTGAAACCCGTTCAAGCCACTGCATCGTGTTTGTGCCTGCTCCGATCGCCCTTTTCACTTCGGGTCGATTTCACGAGCATCACGCTGTTGGCACCTCTACCCGACCTCGGAGATAGCTTGGCCCGCAATTGTCCACCAAGTTCCACACAACCTTTTAGCTACGTCCTACTTCCGAGCAGCTCACTTCAGTCTTTCCAAAGCACTTGTGGCTGATTTCTTCGCTGCCTCCTGTAAAGTCCAAAGCTTCTGCCAGCTGAGCCTTAGAACTCTTTTCCACAAGCTGCTCCTTCTCCATGTGTTCTCGGTACAGAGCAAGCGCATCATCATCCATCTCCTGCTGAGCCGGTTGCCCTAGCTGCACAACGAAAACTCAGAGGTCCTTGGAACTGCAGGGCCTTAAGAAATTGTCAGCAAAAGCGCAGTCGGAATAATGGCCAAACAACGATTATACTGTTGGATCAACCATTATCAGTCGGTGTCCTTGATGCCGGCCATTCTCTGCAAGAATCTTCTGGTATTGGTAACCTAAGAAGTGGTGCGCGTGGAATTGCATCCTCGAGACCATCCCATTACCCCGACTGGTGTGTGCACCTTGCAGAAAGTGAATCTTGACAGCCGCCCCATGAAGTAGCTACTCGTACGAAGAACAAAGGCGCTGGCAAAGAGTTCCAGCTGCTCCCGCCTCGGGCTGCTGTTCTGGCGCTCTTTTTCCTGCTGCTCAGATTCTGCAACATTCCTGAGACTACGTGTCTTCTGCACCCGGGAGGTCACAAGCGACTACGCAGGATGAAAGGATCCACATCCATTCATGAATACGGATTAGTGTAAGCATCTGGCAAGCCCGGCTTTGGTGCCTGCATTTTGTTGTCTTGCATTTGGGTCGCCACATGTCTGTTTTAGACTTGCACGGCGCGGCCTTGGCTTTGCCTTCTTCCTGGCAGCAGCTCACCCTCGATCCAGCAATGCATGCTAGAAGTGACCGTGGGATGATGCTGTGTGTAAGCTCGCGCAGGACTTGAGACACCGAGGTGAACAACATGTCAGCACCACCGCTTCAGCCATTTCTGCCTGAGTAAGCTTCACGCAGTTTGCACCATGGCGTCACGGTGTTACGTTTGAGAACGGTCTGATCTACTCAGCAGCGAACTTCAAGCTCCTTTCGCCTCGCACAGGACCCCGAATCCATGAGCCAACGGGTGGGGCGAAGTAAACTCCACATGAGCCTCAACATGGGTATAATGAAAGGATGAGCATGATGGACAAACATATGGCGATCAACATGATTAACGGCAGCATCTGCACTACATCGCAATTCCACGCTCGTTGCTAGGGGGAGACTGAATTCCATTTGTGCTAGCACTTCTTGTCCCACTACTGTGTTGCTAGGATGCTAGTGTCTTTCACCGGCCTTAGATCTTTGACTGCGACGAAGTGCTCCTGCACAGGAGTGCTGCTACGACGACAACCATCGAAGTGTACGAAATAAGGCTACAATCTCTCACTGCTGCAGTTCTCATACAATGGTTCTGTGCTGTGGCGTGGGAGGTTCACAAAACTCCTTCGTCCACGTCTTGATCTTTTCTGCTTTAGCTTTGTCAACCTGGCGGTAGAAAGGCTTTGTAAATCTGAAGCACGATTGTAGTTTGACACAAACGCAATTCGTGGGCATAGAGCCTCGCGCTTCCTTCGGTTAGTTCGGCCCCCTTCCTGCCGGGTGAAAGCGCAAGCATCCAGAAGTGCAGTCTGAAGCCAATCTTCATGCAGGTCTGCCTGAGTAAGCGAGACACCCTTCTAAGACAGAGGGTGCAGAATTTCTGTGGCTTTGCGTTACGCCTGTGGGATTGTTTTTTGCCGAGCGGGGGGAGATCCAGCGCCTGCGAAGCGCCGGCCACGCCTCTGGGACGCCAGTATTAAGGGGAACAGCCTTTTACCGTGCTGTTGGAACCGCCAGTTTTTACTCGGGGGAGAGCATGTTGGTTGTGCAGTACCCGTGGAAGACCATGTTGGCCCATCAGTGCGAGCAGGTTGCGTCAAGAGTGCAGAGAGAAGTGGTTGCTGCTAGCCAGCTGTACTCCGAATTAATGCTGAGGAGGGCGTGCTTGTGTGGGGGCACATCCACATTGTCGCGCTTTCGGGTTTAGGGCCCAGGGTGTGGAGAAAGAAGTTCGGGTGATGAGCCAGGGCGGAATGCTACTTGTATGACTGCCTGCCGCAATGCCATCAAACCAACAATACGGGTTCGGAGGCCGATCAGGATGTCCGCGCGAGTGGCCCGCACTCTCGCCAGGCCGTAGTAGTACTAGGTGTAGTCGCAAGAGTGGTAGTGGTAGTGGTGGTAGTAGTAGTGGTAGCAGCAGTAGTAGTAGCAGTAGCAGTAGCAGTAGCAGTAGCAGCAGCAGCAGCAGCAGCAGCAGTAGCAGTAGCAGGAGCAGCAGCAGGAGCAGTAGCAGTAGCAGTAGCAGTAGCAGTAGCAGTAGCAGTAGCAGTAGCAGTAGCAGTAGCAGTAGCAGTAGCAGTAGCAGTAGTAGGAGTAGTAGGAGTAGTAGGAGTAGTA